AAACCCAGTTGTAGATGAACACGAGATTTATAAACACTATCCTGTAAAGCTGTAGAAAGACGGACATGCTATTGGGCAATAGCATCTTTGCAAAACGGTGTTATAAATTAGAGGGTGGAAGTTCTATAGGGAAAGGCTTAGTCTCTGGAAATGGCGTGGTTCAGTGACAAAACCCCACAGAGAGGGGAGGATTTAGCTCAGTGGCACAGTGCCTGCCTTGCAAGTGCAAGGTCCTCAGTTTGATCCCTGGTACCAAAAAGAAAAAAATAAAATACAATAAAACCCCACAGAGGTGCACGAAACCAGAGCCACAGGGCCCCCCTCTGGCAGGCTCTTGCAGTGGACATGAGGCAGGGGTCCTGCTCTAACCGCCCTCCCCAGGGCAGTGCTTCCCAGCCACTCCACACCGGTGGCATAGCACTTGGGAGCGCATTACAAATGCTGATTCCTAGGTCTTTCCCTAGACCAACTGACTGAGAGACTGGGGCTTGGGGCCCAGCAATGTGTTTTCCTAGGCCTTCCCGATGCACCACTCTTAAGAGAGGTACGAGTCTGTAAGCTTCCAGCTGCATCCCAAGGTGCATAGAAAGTGGCTGTTCTTTTCCCAAGATACCAAGTCTTTCATGGCCCTGAGTCTTTCATGGGGCTGAGGTGAACTACACCTGGGAGTACTAAGCTGGCATTCGTTCACGTAGCTGTTGGTGTTCTGTGATGGAGTCTCTCGGTCCCATTCCTGTCCACAAGGAAACTGCACAGGCCCTGGATCAGGGCAGCACCCACTACCAGGAGACCTTTTCTGTACTGGTAAAGAAAAGCCAAGTCATGCTGCACTGGTCAGCCAGTGATTACTTATCGCAGGGAGCTCGTACAGGTACATAGTGCACCTTAAATTTTTGTTCCCCATCTTATCCCTCCCTGCTCCCAACTCGTTTCTCTTGCCATTTGCAAAAGTTCTATTTCTGTTTTTTCTTCAGTTGTTTTTCTCCATCCCTTTTCTCCCCCCCACCTCCATCTTGTGTTCCCCTTCCCGTTTGAAAAAGATCGCCCTATTTCCTGTCGTCTTTATGTTGCTCTTTCTTTATATTTTGGGTATCTCATATAGAGAAACCTTGCAATATTTAAACCTGTGTCTGATTTATTTTGCTTAACATCACGGTCTGAGGTGCACCCATTCACTTGCAAATGCCTCAACTTTATCCTTCTTAAGTATTACATTTTCTTTATCCATCTGTTGATAGACATATAGGCTGTTGCCAAGATTTAGATTATAAGTTGCGCAGCTATAAACATGGGTTTGAATGTATCACTGTAATATAATGACTTCAGTTCTTTCGGGAAGATACCTAGGAGAATAGCTAGGGCAAATGGAATTTCTATTTTTAGGGTTCTTTTTTGAGGAATCTCATAGAGATCGTAATTGTTTACCTTCCCACCCATAATGTAGAAGCTCCACCCTACCCCCCAGGCCTCACCAGAATTATTGTCTGGTTTTTGAGGACAGACATTCTTTCTGGAATAAGATGGTATCTCAGTGTTGTTCTAATTCAGAATCTGTAATAGCCAGTGATGTCAAACATCTTTTTGTTTATACATGGAAGTAAGTCTTCTCACATCTTAAGGGGTCACGTGTAGCTGTGACCTCAGCAAGACTTTTTTTTTTTTTTAAATCACATTTATTTTATTACTATTATTTTTTGGTACCAGGGATCGAACTCGGGACCTTGTGCTTGCGAAGCAGGTGCCCATACCGCTGAGCTGAATCCCTAGCCCTAAGACTTATTTCTTGTTCCTCATCCACCTGTCATGCAAGCTGGCAAGAGCACTCTAAGCACACAGTCACCCAGATGCCTGTTTTAGCACTGGTCACCGCGCTGGGGACCAGCAGTGCTGGTGGCCCATGCCTATAATCCTAGCACTCTGGGATGCTAAGGCAGGAGGATCACAGGTTCAGCCCAGCTTGAGTGTCTTGGCAAGATGCTGTCTCCAAAATTTAAAAACTGAAAGAAGAGTTGGGGATGTAGCTCAGTGCACAGGCTTTGGGTTCAATTTTCAGTACCATTAAAAAAAGTGAAGTTAACTGACACATCAGAAAGGCACTGAAGCAGGATGGCAACGTGACGCCAGCAGTGCCCAACCGCGGTGGTCAAGAACTGGACCAGTGACAGCAGCCCGTGTGCCACCGCCCCCCAGGTACCTCCTCCCACCAGGGCCACTCTCTTCAATACCACCCTTCAGTTATGTTTCAGAACACTCATTCATTCAGCTGGTATTTACCAGCTGGGCACTGGAACTTCTGTCTTGGCAGATGGTATTACAGACCCAAGCACAAAGGCCGATCCTAGCGAGCTTCCTGTCAGAAGTCTGGCTTTTCCAGTTAGCGATATTTTAGGTAGGGTTGGAGGGTGAGGGATCTACCCAGTTAGAGAATACTGTTATCATTAGCTGTTTGTTTAGGCATACCAACTGCTTCCTTACAGAGCAGAGCGGCCACGGCACCTCCCAGCTGCCTGACACAGGAGGAAGAAGTGGCCCATGCAGCTGGCTGTCTCCTGCTGCCAACCTTTACACAGTGTCAAGCCAGCAGCACCTGCCTGTCCACAGCTCAGATATCTCCTCTTCCTTTCAGCTGGTTCAGGGCTGGGGAAACTGGTTTTCCTTGGGTCAGGGAATGAGACACAAGTATAAACTTATTTTGACTTAAGCAGAGGATTCATATTGGGCCAGAATAGAATTGAGGTCGGTTCCACTTACTGAAAATTAGGGACATTTCCATCCTCTTTCCGCCACCAAATGTCTTAAAGGGAGAGGTGGTAGACAGCTAGTTTATTTATTTATTTTGGTACTCAGAATTGAATGCAGGACCTTGCACTGACAGCTGGTTTTAAAAAACAAAACAAAATAAGAAACCAGTTCTTCCCCAAATGTTCTGTAAATCAGACTTTTCTGATTTGGCATGCACCCACAAAAATAGTTCTTTGCCTTCCAGCTTCTCTGCATAATCCTTGCCTGAATTCAGGTTAGGTGGCTCTGAATTCAGGTTAGGTGGCTCGGGGTCACCATCACAAGTCCTGACTGGGACTGTCTACTTCCACCGCTGAGGAAAGAGCCAGGGACTGCAGTGGAAGGGAGAGAGCACATGCAGCTCAGGCACACTGGCTGGTGGGTCAGCCACCTCCTTCTGTTGTAATAATCTTCACAAAGGGCAGTCTTTTTATTATCAGGCTGGCTTCTGAATTATAGCCATGCTGAGTAAGAGCAGAGTAAACACATATATGATCAGTAATTTCCTTATGCAGAAAGTACAATGAAATAGTTTCTTGCTAAGGCTCAGGGCTTAAAATAATATTGTGCTTTCAGTAAAAAGTAAAATGGAAAATTGTCATTATTTCACAGCCAAAGCACTGGTTTACAGCTTTCTTCCTGAGCAGGAATAGTTCAGCTCCATGAGGAAGCAGGCAAGGAAAAGATTAACATGGGAAAACCAAGCCATGGTGGCTTGCTTAGCATCTGTCACTTATATAACGAGCCATGTACTCCTCGGGTATAGGAAATGACTGTGGCATTCTGTTTGAGCCTTCTAGAAATGACAACTCCAGGAAATGCAGAAACACCACTGAACATGGACAAATGCCACACTGGTATCTCTCTGGACTCATTAAAGATAACATATGGTGCTGCTGCTTAGCTCCCCCTACCCTTCCTAATTTGTTTAGAAAAGAACCAATATAAAGGGCTTCACAATTTGGGAGTAAGAAATTTTCAGTATGGACCCCTGGCCACTTGGAGAAATATGTGGGATGCCTGCAAATTCCCAGATATAAAAGGTCTGAATTCCCCCCAGGAATTCTTTTCTGTATTGTGAAGGGGAAGCTTATACAAAAGCATCATAAAAACACAGTATTTCTATTTGCAGTTCCACTGAAAAGGACCCTCAAGGACTTAAAGAAGGTTATGATTAGTTGTGTATTATTTCCTCTGAGGGAAAGATGGTAGCTTTCTTGCCAGCCACAAGGATCATCACCTATCTGCACTGTTTCAGTATTAAAAGTGGTAGAGGGGCTGGGGATTTAGCTCAGTGGTTCTGCTGCCTGCCTTGCAAGCACAGGTTCCTGAATTCGACCCCCAGTACCAAGAGAAAAGAAAGTAGTAGACCTGTTCTCAGTACAGGCAGTTTATACACAAGGCTTGATGCTTCACATATTTGGGGACTTGTGCTAGGTAGGGTGTCCCCGCTCAGTTTCTCCAGAGGAAAAGGACCGCCTCGTGCTCAGTAAGAGGGTCAACACGTTAGCCATAATGGAGGCAGCACACGCTGCTTTACTAACACCAATCTCAAAATTTCTGTTGTTTGGGGGTGAATTCTAGCCTCAGCCACTCACTTTTCAGGGCAAGAGTTCCTGGGAAATTGCCTGTTACCTACAGACTTGGCCTCCTCTTAACTTTGGCTAGAATTAGCAGGAATCCCCAAACCTTGGATGGCCTCATTTGGGGACCCCGTCCGTATCTCGCCACAGATCCCTTTAAGAAGTTGTCCTTCAGTAAAGTGCAGCTGTACCAGTGGGGATAATCAGGCTGTGTGTACAGCGTGTCAAGATCCCAAGATAAAAAGCATTTGAAGTGCCCAGTGTTATGAGAGCAAACAAGGCCCATACCAGTGCACGTTAGCCAGAGGTTAGATACACATTATATAAGACCTCACTCACAGATAAAACAAGCACTTTCCCCTCTAGAACTGAGCACCAGAAAGCTGACAGCTCACAGGCAGAGGCAAGGATTTCCCATGCATTTACAGTATTAATGCCTTTCTCAGATGGAACCACCGCCCCCGACAAAACACAGACGCTTCTCTTCACAAACCCACTCTAAATTTCCTGGGCCATTTTGGGTCTGTAGGAACCTGAGCACGAATAATTATCTGAACTGAAGTTCAGCCTGGATCCCAGAGCTAGCAGGGATCATGAGTGCTGCTTCATCTCTCCTTCCTTGTTGCTGTTTTTCAGTCACCAGCGGTCATACCGCAATGAAGAGTCAAGGACAAGGGCTCTCGCAGCTGGGAGGAATAAACCTGGAGCTCCCCAGGCGAACACCGGGCTGATGAGCTGTAAGCGTAGCAGTCTTCACCTTCAGCTGCACACGTGGAATCCAGCTCATGAGCGTTCTTGGAAGACCAGCCCCTTGCAGTCCAGGACCCGGAGGCTGCCCATTCCCCTTCCCCACCCATCCACATCTGTGCACTGTAAGTCAACAAGACTGGGACGGACAAGTGTCACCTCGGTAGGTGGGTCCAGAGGCAGGGAGAAGGAAAAGAGCTTAATGAAATTTTATTTTGAAAATAATGGCAAGAGTCTAAGGCACTTCAAACATTTAAATACATATAAGACCAAGGTAAATGTGGAATGGTATAAAGGAATCCATAAATACATGGAGAAGGACACTAAGTTTTTCTGGAGGCAAATACAGAGCCAGTTCCTCCTTTACCAACAGATAGAGACAGGTCTGTGCAATTGTTAAAACCGTGGCAATGTGACATGTAGTTCTTTGTGTCTTTAATCACTGTGGAATATAAAAGTTTAAAATACTGTATCAATTTCATATAGACGCCTTTATATAAAAAGTCATATAATCCACTTAGATAAAACCAACTGGAAATATTTCCTTTAAGTTTTATACTGTTTGGGAGTTCTAACTTCTATTTTCACCCAGAAACAACCAGCCTGGCCTGAGTTGCTGATGATCAATTCATCTCAACTTCCTCATTTAGAAAGACGTATTTTTTGTTGCAGGAGGAGGGGAGAAGGGAGAGAAGTTGCATATCCGGGTCAGGCTGCCTTTCTACCACTGTCCATAACGAGGCAGGGACTCACAGCCACAGAGAAATGAGGGCCGAGGGGGCGGCGTGCGGGCAGCATCTCCTGCCGGCACTGCTGCCGCCTGTGTGCTGGTGAGCGCAGGCACAGTCTTTGTGATGGCGTAGAAGTCAGCAGCGTAGTGATGGCATGTCAAAGGGCTGCTCTGCACAAATCAATCAAATGAACCTCGGTGGGTGGGTCCAGGAGACATCTTCCTTCCAAGCCTAGGGGTGCCCTAGAGACCAGGAAAGGAAAAGAAAAGTAGGGATTAGTAAGGTACACGTGTCCCCCGTGACTGTGGAGGAGGTTGGGCCGCCACAGCTGATGACTACCCACGAGAGCTCTGGCTGGGAACCCGAGGCAGGTCCACCGGCAGCAGGCCCTGCCTGTCAGATGTCGGGGGAGTCAGTGTCTCCTCAGAGGGAAACACACGTGCAGGCCCAGCCTAGGCCATCCGAGTGGTGTGCACCAAGTGTGAGCATCTCTCCCAAGGGTGAGCCGGGCACAGCCTCTGCTGCACCTCAGCTCTGCCGGCTCTCAGGGTGGTGGAGATGATGAATTCTTTAGCTCTGGACTGCAAGTTCCATTTTCAGAATCGGCACAAAATCCATGTGTCCTACCACTTCCTCGAGGGAGGGGACTCCCCGTCTGCTGGGTTTCGGTCTATTTATCAACGCCAAGTGCACAACACTGACCGGAGACTGGGCTTTGGCAAAGTTGACGTGGGCGTACAGAAGAAAGGCAATCTCCCCGTGTCCTGCTTCCAGAGCTATGGATAGAGCAGTGCTGCCATCCTGAAAAAACAGACAAGCCAGGGTGGGTTTGTCAGTGTCCAGACAGCCAAAAGTACGAAACACTCTCCAGCGCGTGATGAGGTCCCCCCACTCCAGCCATCCACTGAGACCTTCAGGAAATGTTTCTGGGCCTCAAAGCGCAGGAAGATGGAACAAACCTCCCCCCTGAGGAAAGCAGCTGTGAAGGTCACTCACTCACTCTGTCTCTGCTATCAGCGTGCAGCACAGAGGCCTGAACACCGACTCCCAGAAATGCAGGAACCCCCAAGGAAGTCCCATTCAACCGCTTGCCCACGAGAAGGGGGCAGCAGGACAAGATGAGGTAGAAAGACAACTTAGTTTCTTTCTTATAATTACAGACAAGTACCAGGGTGTGCGTGTGAGGCATGGCCATTTGCCAGGGACTCAACCCTGGCAACTTACATATATGTATCTTATGGAAATGTCAAGGGAAACAACCACACACGTGAAAGGAAACTTTAGTTCACGGCTTGGTTAACAGTCAGTGGTAAGGGAGGTGCAACAAGGCAAATAATGGAACTTACTTTCTGCCTTGTCTTGGAATAAGGCCTCCCCTCTGGTCAGGAGCAGCCGGAAACAGTTCTAATGTGGCTTGAATCTTAGGGACATTCCCTCCTACACTGAGAATTCTAGGAGCTGCTTTTCTTCTGGAGGCCAGTTGGACTTTCTCCTACTCATTTATGGGTAAGGAAGTGGGCAATCAGCTGGTGGGGCCAGGATTCTGGAAGTTGCTGTGGTTCTACAGATTCTTGTTTTTCATCTACAAGCTTATTATTTGCAGAAGTAAAAACAAGCGAACCCCGAAACCCGTCTGAACGCAGACTGCGCTGGAGGAAAGGTGAGTGAGACACTCTGGCTGCTCTCCGGGAAGTTAAGGGGACCAGACACCCAGCGGGCAGGCGCAGCCCCAGTCTGTGGAGGAGCTGAGGAGCCAGAGCTGGGAAGTCCCGCAGGCCAGGAAAGACCTCTGGCCAGCAGGACCTGAAATAAATTGCAAAGCGTGATGTTTTCCCTAACTTTAAGAAGCTGAGCTGAAGGAAGCTCTGGTTCAGGCCTGTGCTCCACAGAGATAAACTCTGAAGCACGGGAGCGGCCTGACCTCTGTGACCCTCAGCCCACTTTACTGCTCCGTGCTGGTCGTGTGCCTTCCGCTTCTCGGGGGTGTTCCTCCCCTTTGGCCTGGAGACACCCAGAATACCCCTTTGCCTCAGGAGGTTTCCCAGGATAGAGGTTATCCGGAATGGGGACAGCTTGGAAGTAGGTGACAACTACAGGAACAGGCTGAGGAGAAGTGGGGAATGGTACGCAACGCCACGGAGGCGTTGGGATCCCCTCGTCTATGAAACGCAACAAGTTACCACTCTGGGGGGCTGCAGTGGAGCACCTGCCTTGCCTCCGGGTGGAAAAGGGGCTAGTTCGAGTCACCTACTCACCCCAGCTTCTGATACCGGTAATGCAGTTTCCTGAGCAATTGGTAACCTGGCCGTCTCCCTGCGGACTTATCAGAAGCTGCCTTGCAGCCTTTGATTCTGTAGCCAAGTCTGTTCACAGCCCGTTAGTACACCAGGTCCCACAGGTGCCCAGAAATCACCTCCTTCCTTTTCTGAATGTGGGGAAGATGCCTATTTTCTGCCCTTGGCTTTAGCTGATGGATGTATGAGTTTTCACCCAGTAAATGCTGCCACATTGGGCCACAGGGCAGCATCCCCACCCCATCTGCGGGCCCAAGGGCATGGCTCACATTGTCCGCCAGGTGGCCGTTGCAGCCTGGCTGGGCCAGCAGCAGCTTGACGATTTCCACGTGCCCGTGCTCACTGGCACACATCAGGGCGGTGGAGCCCTCGTCGTCCTGGATGTTGACGTCGGCCCCGCAGGCCAGCAGGCCCTTCACCATGTCTATGCGCCCGTGGCTGACGGCCAGCATGAGGGCCGTCTGCCCCGCCTGTGGAAAGGAGCGATGGCAACTTCAGAAGTACAGGAGGAGCTGGCAGGCGGAGCCTGTGGTGGGCTGTGTTGGGGGCAAGGGGATGAGAACAGAGCAGTGACGAAGAACCTGGCGTGCAGTAGTTATTCGGGGTGGGGTGGTGGCAGGCATGGAGAAACGCATTTGTTGTGAGCTAAGAGCCAGGAAGATCATGATCTGCCTCAGTACAGGAAGGAGCTGGGAAGTTCAGAAAAGGTTTAAAATGAAGGCACGAACACATCTGGACTTGAGACTCCAAATCTGGCATGAAGATAGGACTGCAGGAAGCAGTAGGCACTTGGTGCCAGGTGGGGACACGCAATCATTTATATGCAGGCAGGCCGGGGGTGGGCCAGACAAAGGAGGGAGAGGTTCTGGGGGGCAGTGGAAGCCACGTGTCCCTGGTACGCCCAATCGGCCAGAAGCGCCTGGGAGTGCGGGGCTTCAGGCGGGGCAACGTGAAACTAGGGCTGCTTCGTGCCGCTGTGCCACGTTGGCTAGCACAGGAAGCGTCCACTGACCTGGCTGGCTTTGGCGTTCACATCCCCACAGCTGAAAAGTTCTTCTACAACCTGCATGTCCTTTTCTGCCTCCACGGCTGCAAGGGCTGCCAGCATGATGGGGGTGTATCCTGCCTTGTTCTGGTGATCCACATTACACACATCTGCAAGAGAGGAGGCTCTCAGTGGAGAAGCCCTCTCTACCTGCTGTTACGGCTAAGTCTAGATCCCCACACAGCCTCATGCAGTCACGGGTGGGCCTTTTTCAGAGGTGGCCGAATCTAGTGTGTGTGATGCTACTGCTGGTCTGGCCTAAGCCCAGTACCCAGCTGGAGTAGAAGAGGGAGAAAGCAGCTGCTGAGGGCCCTTGCTTGCTTTGCTGCCTTCTGCCCGTTGTGAACTGTTTCTCTCTGCAACGCCCCTCTGCCATTCCCCCTTCCTTAGAGCCAGCCGATTACAGACTGAGACCTCTACAAACTATGAGCTAAATAAACCTTTCCTCCCTTAACTTGTGGGTGTTGGGAATTTTGTCCCAGTAAGGAGAAAAGTAACAGACACAGGAATAGAAAGGATGAGGCTGTAAGAGCCAGTGCAACAGGTGGATCAAGTGCTCAGAGACAGAGGGACTAAAAAGGAAATGTTTTTATGCTAAACAAAAATGTTTCTTCCTATCTCACGTGGCCTGCAGCAACAAAAAGGCCTCTCAGTTTCTACAGCACATCTTGCTGGCAACTGGTGGATGAACTGTAAAGCTTGAAGTATGGGCAGGAATGTGGGGTCCAGACATCCTGCTGCGCAGGAACTCAGTTTTAGAGGGAAGGATGCAGAATGAACTATAAATCAAAGAAGGGTTTGCAAAAGTTGAGTGTGGAACACTGTACATGGTGCCGCCCAGTTAGCCAGTACTACTCAGTTCTGAGGCCCTGATACTCTACTGTTCTGATGTGTGGCGTCTCCAAAAGCACAACTCTGCTCACATACCTTCTAACCCTAGGCTGCGTGGTCAGAGCAGTGTCACACAGCAGGTCCCTGAAGACTGCCAGAGACCAACAGACCCGATGAGCTAGACCTTTGCTATCCTGTAATTGTTTTTTCTTTTCATGTGTTTTTTAGTAGTACATGTTTATATTTATTATGGGGAATTTGTACATGCACATGACTCATCTTACTTTTTGTTGTTGTTCCCCTCCCTTCCCTTCCCATTCCTCCTTGCTCACTCCTATTCCGTAATTCTTAGGAAGTCTTCAGGGGCTAACTTACCCTCCAGGCATTTAAAAGTTCCTTCAGCATTTCCTAATGAAATGACTGTGTAGTGAGGACTGGAAAGCAGCTTTTGTATGTGACCAAACAAGTTTACAATGCGGAGGATGCCTCTGTCATAAAAGGTAAGAAGGTACCATGGAAACATTCCTCGAGTTCCCAATCAACTGCATACAACCTAAGAGCATTCGTGAAAGTGGCTATTAGGTGGGGAAAAGAAAAAGCTGTGTGGTGAAGTGGGTGACACGTGTGCTTGGGCTTCTCAGTATCAGTTCTGTGGATGCTAAAGCCGTAGACTCAAACTGTGAAGCCAGAATTCCAGCATATAATGGTAAACTGTAAAAAGCAAGCAGATAAAGAAGGTGATGAGCCAGGCGTGGTGGAGCACTCCTGTAATCCCAGCACTTGGGAGGCTGAGGCAGGAGGATCGCTCTGAGTTTGAGACCAGCCTGGGCTACAAAGTGACTATGACCCTGTCTCAAAAAACCAAAAAAAAAAAAAAAAAAAAAAAAAAAAAA